CATTGATAATGCGAAAACGCATTGGTAACTCGATGTTATAAAACGCATTGTTGTGTATAGTTTATTAATGAATAAGTAAATGCATATAAGTCGAAGTTTATCTATAACTTTTATCCTAAGAAGGAAAAACCGATATCTCGGCTGCTCGATGATTTGATTTGACTTATGTGTCGGCCCCGGTCAGAACTGAATTGATGTGTTAGATTAAGTTCTATGTCAAATAAATCGGAGATCGAGAAACCAAATGCTAGACTAATTATTCCATAAAATTGTCAGCATGATATCTAACAGAGGACTGTACGATCCCTTATCTAAAGGATAAGATTGATTAGATCAGAGTTTGACAGCGTCTTTGAGAGCTACGATTGCAAATCAGATTGTACTTGTGCATATAGTTACTAGACTTATCCAAGTGGGAGACTGTTTGAATAGTGTCTAAGGTTGCAACTATATTAGGCAAGTATTTGATCCGATTGTGCATGGTCCTTTTGGGTTGCCTTCACCATAGCAACTTGATAGGATGATTTATTATGAGAGAATAAATATTATTAATATATTATGAGAATAATATAAGGAATAATAATATTGTTATTTGATTAATATAAGACATAGATTAATTAGTATTAATTTGGTGACTTAAAGAGATTAATTAAATAAGAGGGTATAAACTGTCAATTGTTTGATAGTTACACTTTGGGCTGTAAATCCTTAAAGGATATGGGTTGGACGAATTCTAGGGCTTGGGATAGCCTCAAATTCGTCCAAGGCTTATCTTTGGTAAGTATTAGGATAGCTTAGAGTTTAAGTTATCCAATTAGGGTTTAAGGGTAAAACCCTAGGAGCCTTACAAGTATAAATAGACCCCTTGGGATAGGGAAATCGGCACCTCTTCTAGAGCAAGGAAACCCTGGCCGATTTCCTCCTCTCTCCTCTCTCTCAAATCATTCTCTTTGCTAGTTGGTGTTTGTAAGCCATTAGAGGAGTGACAATTGTGACTCTAAAGCTCCAAGAACAAGAAGATCAAACAAGTGTTTCAAGGTTAGTTTCTAACTCTGGTTTTGTATTGTTCTTATACCTAATTAGTCATTAGAAGTCTTGGATTCAATGCATGTTTAATTAGAGAAACCTAGATCCAAGCATTAGGGTTTGTATGTTCACATAGGAATGTTCATATGACTAAAACCCATCACATTGAGCCTACTTCATAGATTTATCTTAGTTGAACTCAATTTATTACAACCACTAAGGTCGGAATAGCATGCATTTTCTTAGTCATCAGCGAAACGATGGTAATGACGGATACAGATAAAACAACTCAACTACGAGTGCCTTATTAACCTTGTGACTTTTCTTGATTCAAGTGTGAGTCTTGTGTTTATGGTAGTATAGGCCTCTACTACCTTTCACACATACTCATACTTGTCCCAAAAGTTGTCTCGCAGTTCCCAAGTCACTTCCAATACTACGCATGATGAACACTATATGACTGTGTCCCATGAGCTCATACGACAACTTTTCCTAAACTTCACTAGGGCTTTGCATCTTTACCAATGTTCTATCTATGAATATATTCCCAATCAAGCATGTATTAAACTCCTTAGACTTTTTTTCTAAGATGCCTACCCACTTTCCTTTACTATTAACTGAGGAAGAACTTCTATCAATATTAACCAATTATTTGACGGATACGATTACATGCTTCTAAAATCAAACAGTCTTTCGGGAGAAAGTTCCAACGCTACGACGGTTAGACTCAGACGAGAGCACCACAATAGTGCCAAATCAAACAATCTAAAACTATTTAATTTTGGGAGCATGCAACCTAATGTATTTGTCAAATAACTAATTAATATTAATATATGTTCTAAGCAACAATTAACAAGAAAAATTTTCAAAGGTATAAGACATCTTAAGTATTAGGCAATTCTATTTAGCAATTCCTAAAAAATCCCTAGCCCACATACTAGCATGGATTTCTAATATTTCACATTTCAAAAATTATAACAAACATGGATATTTTGGGAATCACATTACCTTCTGAGCTTTGGCTAAGTGTACGCATCACATTCTTTCCTTTTTGTAATATTCTTTTTATGAAAAGATTTATTAATTACATAAATCCTTAGTTTGAGTTTGGAATCACACGGGTGTTCATGCACTCCACTCAAACCTAGACTCTGATACCAACTTGTAACATCCCGATTCTCAACCAAAATTTTTAATTTTTATTTATTAAATATACCAGAGTATGATTACATTATGCAGAAACATGTTGTGAATGTGCGTGTGTACAGTCGAACCTTTCCCTTCACATGAGTACCAAAAAAACATTTATATTCAACTAGGTAAGCACAAACCTTAGTAAGATTCCCCAAAATAACATATACCACTATATATACATACATATATATATATATATATATATATATATATATATATATATATATATATATATATATATATATATAATGCATACACATAATGGCCTCAACATAGAGCTGGTCTGCTATTGGCCTTCATCACGAAGTTGGTCCGTCATTTTTGCCTACAACATATATTTGGTCAGCACTTTGGCCTTTAGCATAATGTTAGTCCACCCGAGTCTATTGGCCATCATCCCATGGCTAGGTCACCCTAAACTCCCCAAATAATATATATATATATATATATATATATATATATATATATATATATATATATATATATATATATATATATAATCTGGCTAGTAATGTCCCTAACTGGTATTAACCTATAATACTATAACTCATTAATATATATCCTAATTCTAATAAATAAGTAGAACTCTGCCACGTGTCAATCTATAAGACCTCCAAAATAGAGTTTTCCCGCTCATTTTATTCATCTATATTTACGTAAATGCCATACAATCCAAATTCAATAATTTCGGAAAAATCTGCAAACAAATATGTTAATCAATCTTCAGATTCGAAAAACACGCATTAATTTTGAAAGTTTGTTTATTTTGATTGCAAATTAAATCCCTAAAAATCTGCAATATTATTCTTTTGCAAACGTAATCTTCTTAATTCTTATTCTTATTTATTCAAACGTAAATAGCATTCATACGGTTATTTTCTTTTTACCATTCTGCTCCAGACGAATTCTGCTCCATAGTAATATTTGCAAACGTATTCTTCTTCATTCTTCTTGATTCTGCAACGCTTCAAAAATTATAATATCAGGTTAGTGTATTAAAATATCAGCATTACTAATATTTCTAACCTCTTAATTGTCTGATTTACCAGTTTCTATCATTTTTCATTTTATTAGTGATGTTCTTCTTCTTCCTTTTGCTAATTCTTCTTAATCATGTTCTTCTTCTACCTTTTCAGTTTAAAAGACGTAAATGTTAATGAAAATGATTACAAAATACGAAATTAGTAATAAAAATGAGAACTTTATTTTCTTTAAAAAAAATGTTCTTCAAAGCTTTAACTATTACAATATGTTTTTTTTGTTTTGCTGTTTCATTACTTTGATTTGCTGTTAATTTAAAAGGTTGCTAATTTTCCTTACAATTCTATAATGATTAAATTTATTGCAGAAAATGGAATTCATATGCGAACCCAACTGATTGGCAATATGGTCATTAAATTTATTCTATAAAATCAAAACTTATCTGTTTTCATATGCGAACCCAACTAATTGGCTTTTCAAAATCAAATTCGCAACTCCAAATCGTTTGATTATTCGCCCCAATTCCAAAATCAAATAACAGATCCTTCGTATGATTCATTTAATAACCAAGGCTTCTTTTACTTCAAAATGACCATATTGCCCCTAACTTGATAAGTATTTCATATATCGCAATTAACAATTAAGACAAATCAATCAATCAATCAATTTGTATAATAAAAATGCGAAATTCTTAGCTTTCTTCCCCAATTCGCATTCCACTGTAAAATTCACATTCTTCATTCACCCTCTTTCTTCGCATGTTCCAGTCATTTTTTTTTAGTTCATTCGCATTTGAGTTGTTTGTCTCACCAAATACGAAATGAATATTAACCATAATGACCTTCGCATCTTTAACCCCAATCCATACAACCTCATATGCGAAACCCAATTTTGATTTGTATTACCAAATGCGAACATTTTTGCTTTTACACGTGAACTGCATTTGACTCCAATATGCGAACATCTTTAACCCCAATCCATACAACCTCAAAGCTTTAACTATTACAATATGTTTTTTTTGTTTTGCTGTTTCATTTACTTTGATTTGCTGTTAATTTAAAAGGTTGCTAATTTTCCTTACAATTCTATAATGATTAAATTTATTGCAGAAAATGGAAATAGGAAATAAGGTTTACCTAAATAACATTGACCAGATAGATGAAAAATCGCATATAAAGGTTCGGGTGCTTAAAATTTGGAACTTTGTCAGAAATAATAAAGTTTGTTCCATTGAAATGATCATCATGGATAAGGAGGTTTGTTCCAACTGATTGGCTTTTCAAAATCAAATTCGCAACTCCAAATCGTTCGATTATTCGCCCCAATTCCAAAATCAAATAACAGATCCTTCATATGATTCATTTAATAACCAAGGCTTCTTTTACTTCAAAATGACCATATTGCCCCTAACTTGATAAGTATTTCATATATCGCAATTAACAATTAAGACAAATCAATCAATCAATCAATTTGTATAATAAAAATGCGAAATTCTTAGCTTTCTTCCCCAATTCGCATTCTACTGTAAAATTCACATTCTTCATTCACCCTCTTTCTTCGCATGTTCCAGTCATTTTTTTTTAGTTCATTCGCATTTGAGTTGTTTGTCTCACCAAATACGAAATGAATATTAACCATAATCACCTTCGCATCTTTAACCCCAATCCATAGAACCTCATATGCGAAACCCAATTTTGATTTGTATTACCAAATGCGAACATTTTTGCTTTTACACGTGAACTGCATTTGACTCCAATATGCGAACATCTTTAACCCCAATCCATACAACCTCAAAGCTTTAACTATTACAATATGTTTTTTTTGTTTTGCTGTTTCATTTACTTTGATTTGTTGTTAATTTAAAAGGTTGCTAATTTTCCTTACAATTCTATAATGATTAAATTTATTGCAGAAAATGGAAATAGGAAATAAGGTTTACCTAAATAACATTGACCAGATAGATGAAAATTCGCATATCAAGGTTCGGGTGCTTAAAATTTGGAACTTTGTCAGAAATAATAAAGTTTGTTCCATTGAAATGATCATCATGGATGAGGAGGTTTGTTGTATTTGATATATTTTTTATTCATCATTCAATATTAGACATGTTTCATGAACATAATAATTTTTAATTTTTTTTTAAACAGGGTACACAATACCAAGCTCGTGTCTTCAATCAGAATTTCTCCAGATTTCGTCATCTTTTAAAGGAAGATGAAAGTTATATAGTTATAAAACCCAATATGGCTGCTGTTACTAATGGTTTTAGTTATACAGGTCATAAACAGACCTTAACTTTGGATTGGAAAAGCATCCTAAAAAACTGTGATGATTTCTCGGGTCCGGTCAATGGATTTATGCTTGTTGACTTTAATTCTATCATAGAACAAACATGCCCAAAAGACACATTCTTTGGTTAGTCATAAAATATTAATAAAATCATTTTTTATCATTTGTTTTTTTGGTTATACATTTTATTATTTAAATATTACGAATTTAATCCTAAACTTTTATTTTTTTGTGGTATCTGTTGTGTAGATGTTATTGGACATATCGTGTCATTTAGGCCTCTTGAAACTTCAAATCCAGTACCATCCAAGCATTATATAAAAGTCACTCTTAGCAACCTAGAGTGAGATTATATTGTATTATTTATTTATTATTTATTATCTTTGATTAATCACAAATTAATATTAATATACTATTTTATGGTTTATTTAGTTCTGTACATCTGAAGGTTACTATTTTTGGAAGTCAAGCATATCAAATTTCAGAATACCTAAAAAATAACCCGACTGTTAATTTTGTTGTTATCGTGATGCAGTTTTTGAAGCTAAACATTTGGAATGGTTTGTATTCAGTCTTTATATATAGATGTTTATAATTACTGTTTTTATATAAATTTTAATAATTGGATATACATTTTTTACAGGTCTTGGTGAAGCTAAAAGTCATTTTGAAGTAACGAAATTGTTCATAAATTCTGACATTTATGAAATAAATGAGTTTAAAAATAAGTTAGTTTCCAATTGTTTTTTATTTTTTTATAATGTATTTTAACTTAAAAAAAACACAAAACCTAATATTCATGAATCTAAATTAAACATTACAGGTTGAAATGTCATGACAATTTCGGTATAACTGAAAAAAGCATAACTACACTTCAAAGCTACTCTTCTTCATATACAGATGACTTTAATGGCAATTTTCCATTAAAAACAATCTGTGAGATCACCGAACCAATTAAGGTATATTGCATTATTTTATATGTTTTACATTTTATTTTTGCATAATTTATTTTAATGATTTTTACATTTTATATGATACAGGAAATGAAGTTTTTATTAGTTGCTTCCATTGTTAATATAAGGCAGAATCTACCATGGTATTATGAAGCATGCAAAAAATGTGGAAAAAAATTATCCCTGTTCCCAAAACCAATCATTCGTATACCAACCCTGAGGGAATTTCAGAAACTATGGTTGTCGAGTGTACAAATGCACAATGCAAAAAATCTGAATTTCAGTCAGTTATAAAGTATAGACATATTTATTCCTATTAATTTTGTCAATCTTAAAACAACACTAACAATGACATAATTATTTTTTGTTTTAGGTATATAATTCCAATTAACGTACAAGATTGTACTGGAACCATTGATTGACTCTTTTTGATAGGGAAGCAAGGAGGTTGTTAAATATAAGTGCCTACGAGTTGAAAAAGATACATAATGCGGTATATTATTCATACCTTTAAAATCAGAAAACATTTACTTAATTTTTTTAATTTATTAAAATATATCTTACAGGCCGGAGACAGTGATGCCCTATTTCCAATGCAACTTAATGTGTTGAAAAACCGCAAGTTTGGTTTTGTTGTAGATATTACAGAATACAATGTCAACAACTATAATAACATCTACACAGTTCTCAGAGTTACAGAAGATATGTCCATTGTTTGTGAATTGGAAAGTAAAATAGAACTTATGGTATGTAATTTTTTATTGTTGAAAATTTACAATTCTTTAATGTTAAAGTACATAACGATTAACATATTTCCATTTTATTTTTTAGAGTAATCAATCTGTCTCCTTAAATCAAGTTGCTTTGGAATCCGATGATGTTGTACAGCCTGTTCAAAAGGTTTTTCATTTTATTTTATAAACTTTTAATTATATTAGTTATTTTTTTTAGGAATCAAACATTTTTTTTTTAAATTAGGATGTGATCTCACAAACAGACGAAAGTTTTACACCCTCAACAGTTGATAAGTCAACCGCAACAAGTCCTTGCAAAATATCAGGTGATTTGAAGCGCAACCTCCAAGAAATTTATGATGTTGATTCTGGATATGATTTAAGTTCAACTAAGGCTAAAAGAAAGTCAACCGCAGAGGAAACTCCACTCTTGATTCCAAAAATTGAAAAGTGAGTTTCTATCGGTTATAAGACACATTTAATATATTTTGATCATTTGTTTTGGTTATAAAGATATTTTAATTGCTTGGTATGATTTTTATTTTGGGGTATTTAGGATGTCAAATATTATTGGTTTTGAATATTTTTGGATACTTTTATTGTTTTAAATTGGACAAGTTAGTTGATTTTGGTTATAACTCAAATAAAATATATTGCCCCTAACTTGATAAGTATTTCATATATCGCAATTAACAATTAAGACAAATCAATCAATCAATCAATTTGTATAATAAAAATGCGAAATTCTTAGCTTTCTTCCCCAATTCGCATTCTACTGTAAAATTCACATTCTTCATTCACCCTCTTTCTTCGCATGTTCCAGTCATTTTTTTTTAGTTCATTCGCATTTGAGTTGTTTGTCTCACCAAATACGAAATGAATATTAACCATAATCACCTTCGCATCTTTAACCCCAATCCATACAACCTCATATGCGAAACCCAATTTTGATTTGTATTACCAAATGCGAACATTTTTGCTTTTACACGTGAACTGCATTTGACTCCAATATTGAACAAATCACATTTCACAGTCCTTCTTGACTTCGCATTTTTCTTCACGAATCGTCCCTCAATCAATAACCCAATTAACCCAATTGCTAATCCAAAATCAAAACTTATCTGTTTTCATATGCGAACCCAACTGATTGGCTTTTCAAAATCAAATTCGCAACTCCAAATCGTTCGATTATTCGCCCCAATTCCAAAATCAAATAACAGATCCTTCGTATGATTCATTTAATAACCAAGGCTTCTTTTACTTCAAAATGACCATATTGCCCCTAACTTGATAAGTATTTCATATATCGCAATTAACAATTAAGACAAATCAATCAATCAATCAATTTGTATAATAAAAATGCGAAATTCTTAGCTTTCTTCCCCAATTCGCATTCTACTGTAAAATTCAATTCTTCATTCACCCTCTTTCTTCGCATGTTCCAGTCATTTTTTTTTTAGTTCATTCGCATTTGAGTTGTTTGTCTCACCAAATACGAAATGAATATTAACCATAATCACCTTCGCATCTTTAACCCCAATCCATACAACCTCATATGCGAAACCCAATTTTGATTTGTATTACCAAATGCGAACATTTTTGCTTTTACACGTGAACTGCATTTGACTCCAATATTGAACAAATCACATTTCACAGTCCTTCTTGACTTCGCATTTTTCTTCACGAATCGTCCCTCAATCAATAACCAATTAACCCAATTGCTAATCCAAAATCAAAACTTATCTGTTTTCATATGCGAACCCAACTGATTGGCTTTTCAAAATCAAATTCGCAACTCCAAATCGTTCGATTATTCGCCCCAATTCCAAAATCAAATAACAGATCCTTCGTATGATTCATTTAATAACCAAGGCTTCTTTTACTTCAAAATGACCATATTGCCCCTAACTTGATAAGTATTTCATATATCGCAATTAACAATTAAGACAAATCAATCAATCAATCAATTTGTATAATAAAAATGCGAAATTCTTAGCTTTCTTCCCCAATTCGCATTCTACTGTAAAATTCACATTCTTCATTCACCCTCTTTCTTCGCATGTTCCAGTCTTTTTTTTTAGTTCATTCGCATTTGAGTTGTTTGTCTCACCAAATACGAAATGAATATTAACCATAATCACCTTCGCATCTTTAACCCCAATCCATACAACCTCATATGCGAAACCCAATTTTGATTTGTATTACCAAATGCGAACATTTTTGCTTTTACACGTGAACTGCATTTGACTCCAATAATGAATATTAACCATAATCACCTTCGCATCTTTATGTTGATTATTTTAAACATGGAACATTTATGTCTATTATTTAGAATAACTATTATTTTTGTCACGATAAATATGTTATTTTTAAATAAATCAATAACCAATTGTAAACAAAATTTATATCTTTGATTCTCTAAAATTAATTCATACATTTTTGTAATGGTTGCAGCATATTTACTTATCTTCTGTAAATAACCTATATTCAACCAACTATTTCCTAATATTCTATACTCCTTTTTTAGATGAAATTTGAATATTAAACTAATTTTTAGTTGTAATCTTTTAAATTCCAAAAAATCAGGAAGAAAATTATATCTAATAAAGATCCAACAACAATAAAATCATATAATCGTAATCTTTTTCCAATATTCAAGCATATAACTTTAACTCAAAACGTGAAATCCAAAATTTTGAAACACCTCATTCGTCTTCTTAATGTTCAATTGTTTCTGCGATTTTTTTTTCATTAAGCTTACATCAAACTGCTTCATTAAAGTTGTAATCCTCATTCCAGTTCTACCTGCAAGATTTCCATATCCATATGTCAGGTTAGTATTATCAGTTTAGATCACTTTGTTTTCTCTATGAATTTATGGTTGAAATTTACAACAATAATCAATATGCTGGAATAGATGTTTTTCTAATTGTAAAAAAATAATCTTGAATAGATACATAAGATCAATAAGCAATTTATAATCATCACGATTATCGTGTATCACACAATTTTACCTTCATTGATTCCATGGAGATCTAGGGTTTTAACCCCTGATATCATCCGAACCCACGATTGGTTGAAATTGGGGAAACAGTAGATTTAAATCGAATAAACCCTAGGTTGGAAATGAGGATGATGAGTCATGATGCAACATTTTAATAAACAAATTAATAAAGGTAACTTTTTAAATACATTTACTTTATTATCATTATTTATTTAATTCTAACTAACTTCAATTGTATTATATAAACATATTATGTACATAATTTCACATTTCATTTCCTAACCTATGTCTTCTTATGCAGAAAACAACAGTAACATGTACCACATGCAGGCCAAAGAGAAAAGAAGACAAAGAAAAATATATTTGGAAAATAAAAGATCGAAGAAAATAAAAACAATACCAAATGTTCCAAGTATATCATTACAGCATCTCTTCAAAAAAAACCATTAACTATAACCGTATTAGTATTTTATATTCCATCTTTTACTGTTATATAGTTGAATACATATATTTACAAGTTTTATAAGTTATTTCTATTTGCAGATCAATCAACCAACATTGTTCGTCAAACTCAAAATGTCAATTCATTTACAACACCTGCAAAGCATAACACAACCATACAATACTGTCCTTCCTTTACAGATGTTAGAACTCCATTTTCTAACATTACAAATGTTATAAATCCGTTATCTAACATTACGAATGGTAATTATTTATGGTTTTTAAAATATACTATTATCCATTATGTAAATATTTATTTATTTAGTTAACTATTTTATTTTTATTTTATTCAGATAACATTGGTTTCGATAAATATATCACTTCCAAGTTAGCAAAGAAAAGACAGTACCATGTACTTTCAAATGATATGACATCAAAAAATGCATCTACAGTAACAACTTCTTCATCATCAATCAAGTTAAATCCAGGATGTCATAAATTAAAAACGAAGACAAGACATTTATCCCCTATCCCATTGATTGATTTGACAGAAGATGTAGAAAATATACATCAAGTGAACAATGAAAATCGTATAGTTGGTATCTCAAATGGTAATGAAAAAATAAAATCCATTTTACATTTCAGATACTATGTTCTATATAATTATAAAATTCATTGATATTTTATTCAACGCTTTTATTTTACAGAATATTTGGATCATGGTGATCAAGATGTTGTATGTCAAACATGTCGTGCAAAGTTATGGAGAAATGAATCCATTAGAGGTAAAGAAAATGGGAACACGGATTATTCATTATGTTGTGGTTACGGCAAAGTTCAACTTCCAGACTTAAAGAATGCACCCCCTACTTATGAAAGAATGTTTCGAAATATGGATTCAAAAAGCAAACACTTCATGAAAAACATTCGACGTTACAATTCAATGTTTTCTTTCACGTCGATGGGTGGTAAAATTGACTCTTCAATCAATAGAGGAAACGCTCCTTACATTTTCAGATTGGGTGGTCAAAATTATCATAGTATTGGAAGTCTTTTGCCAGCAAAAGGATCGGAACCAAAATTCTCTCAGTTATACATTTATGACACTGACAACGAAATTACAAATAGACAAAGATGTTTTCGGTATTTTCTCAAACTTCTTATTCATAATCTATTATTATATATATATATATATATATATATATATATATATATATATATTATGTATATATTACTAATATTATGTATAAATTTATTTATTTTAGTGGTGAAAAAGATCAATCAACATCAACTGATAGTGATATTGTTAAAGATATTAAGGTGATGTTGGATTCAAATAATGTCTTGGTTAGATCTTATAGAATGGTAAGAGATACTTTTCAAAAAAATCCAGAAGTTGATATGAAATTACGACTTATCGGGAGAAGGGAGCAAGATGGAAGAACATATAACCTACCGACTGCTTCTGAGGTTGCTGCTTTAATAATTGGTGACATTTCGGATTCAATCGAAAAGAGGGATATCGTCGTTCAAACAAAAAATGGTTGTCTACAACGTATCAGTGAGAGAATATTTCGCTTATAGGATTCAAGACAGAGATCATTCGTTCTCTCTCATACTTAATTCAAGAAGGTTGTTTCAACAATTTCTGGTAGATGCCTATACTATGATGGAAACGGAGAGAATGTACTACATACGTAGGCAACAACATGTTCTTAGATGTGATTCTTATGAAAATTTACGTAACCAAAAAGCTCAAGGAACGACTGATATCTCGAATGTCGGCCAACGTGTCATATTACCTTCATCCTTTACCGGAGGTGCACGCTATATGCTGCAAAACTATTTGGATGCCATGTCACTATGTAAATGGTTTGGATATCCTGATTTCTTCATAACCTTTACGTGTAATCCCAAATGGCCTGAGATTAAAAGGTTTCTTAAGGATACTTCACTTCAACCAGAAGACAGACCTGATATACTATGTAGGTTGTTTAAGATCAAGCTTG